TAGACAGATTGGATACTACTCAGCGGAGATTCTACATTCCTCCATGGCCTATGAATCTAGCTTCCCTCTTGAAAGCCAGTCACTTCTTGCCTTTGTAGCCTCCCCATTTTGGGTAGCCAATGTCCAAGTTGCCCATCCCTGTCTACTCTGTGTATGGAGGGGGTGGGAATGATCCTTGCCGTAAGGATTTGTTCCCTCCTTTGAGCTACTGCATCCATAGGTGTAGGTCAAGTTCATCAAATTGCATTGGATTACGCTTTTTCCCTCTTCTTTCTTCTTCTGGTTGCGCTCTGATGGCCGTTTGGTTTTAATTGGAAACTGTCTCTTTAAATTTCAAGGAGATCTATGTGCATGCGTAGTAGAACCCTCCGAGGGTGGGGCTCAGGTGCCCACCAGCTCAGGCACCCTTATAGTCACCAGAATGGAGGTGCGCAGATAGCCAGGGACCAATGAACAGCTACCAAAAGAAAATACTGTCCACACCTTTATCTCTGCGGTTCTGCCAGGCATCTGTGGCCGCTCAAACCCTTCCCCCGCTTGGTCTCACCCAAGATGGCGGCTCCTGAAGCAGCTGAGCGTCCTGGACTGGAAAGTAATGGATTTCTTGCTTCTTCCACAAATTCCCCCAACTGTAAGTCTTCCAACCTTCTAAATATTCCTTTATATGTGGTTCAGAGTTCTGGGACCATCCCCTGAACCTGCTTGGTCCAGTATTCTATATTGTTGGTGGAGCTCTTTACTACACTTACACTCGATCTGCCATCTTGTTTGTTCTGAAGCCATTGTTTCTTGACACTTCTAGATATATACATTTCTGAAGCTGTTGTTGCCATCTCTCTAACCTTTGCTTGAAACATTCCATACTCTGATTTATACCATATCAAAATGCTTGTTTTGGCATTTCCATCCTCAAGGCTATGTATGAAACTGTGTTCCTTTGAAATGTTTTTGAGTTTGGGGAACAAAAAGAAGTTTGCAGGGGCAAACAGAATCAGAGCTGTAGGGTGGACTGGGTAAGGTTTCCCAAAGAAATTTTCATAGGCTGCCCTACCCTAGAAATATGAATAGGTGCATTGTCATGGAAAAAAATTCCTCTGCCCAAAAAAAATGAAACAGTCACCATAACCTTCTGAGCTGACCTTTCTGCCTTGCATTTAACTGGCCCAGTAGATCCCCTAGGAAGCCACTGTTATGATTGGACCTTGCTCTTTGGATCATATTAGTAAATCCAAGACTTGTTTCAGATTATGATTTGTTTCATGAAATCCCATATTATTAGGCTGTTTTTTTTTTGT